TTCCCAGAGCCTCAAAAGAAAAATAAATAAATGAATAAATAAATAAATAAATGTACAGAAAAGACCCTACAATTGTGACATCGTTTGTTTCTAGATTTGAGGTTATCTCCTGACTCTCAAAAAAATCACTAGGCTCAGATTGAGCATATGAAGACATAAGTTGTGTCTAATCAGGACCCCTTATATAAGCATTGTCCAATCTACTCATATTCAGTAAAGAGAAGTTTTGACCATCTAATGTGAAGTCTGCCAGAGTGGGTATCCATTTCTAGGCTTCCTCACTTATGTTCAGTGAACCTGATTTTTTCTCCTGTATAGGTACTTTGTGATTTATAGAGAGGACACATGGTTCCAAAAATACAGTAAATGATGAGTGTGCAGTGAAATCCTGAGACTGGATGGTGAGTCTGGTTGAAACTGGCTGCACTGACTATGGTGGGAACTGGCAATTGTTGGCTAGAATCCCTGGTGTAATTTTTGGTTTCTGCAGTCCTGTATCTTTTTCTGAGAAAGGTCAGCCTTTAATTTTGATGAGCCAGTCAACTGGACCATATATTAACAGTAGACACTGGAAGTCCTATAGTATCCTATAGAATATCTTCAGCCCCTACCTTAAATTCTATGTGAGAACATTTGTGGCAATATTTCTGAATCTTCTCAGATTGTGTTGTGGATTCTGGAGTGAGGAGATCATCACAATCACAACTCCATGTATTTTTTCCTCCAGGAGGGGGGTGAGATACTCTATATGTATCTCAGTTTTTCTTTCCTCCTGAATTCATTCTCCTTCTTTTTGGAGACTGTGGTATTCTGGATTGAGCCAGAGGTACTGTACCACTTAGCTACATACCTGGTACTTTTTAATTTTTTTATCTTCAAACAGTTGCTGAGTGTGATTTTAAATTTATGTCCCAGTATTGTGAGTTGTATTTATATATAAAATTTTAGCTTCCTGTTCAATGACAACTTCCCCCTTTTCCAGTATTATCAGTTACATTTTTTCAGTATTATCAGTTACTTTACCCATATTGTATTTCAAATGAACATGGTATTTTCAATTGTTATACCAAAAACCGGATGAGACTTTAAAGTATTTTTTTCTCTCTGGGTGCAATGATACATGCATATTAATTCCAGAGACTCAAGTGGCTAAGTCAGTAAGAGTGCAATTTCAGGGTAAATATCAGGAATTTATGTAGACTAATTAGACAATTAGAAAAACCTGTCTCAAAATTTTAAAACATGGCTGGGTATGTAGCCCAGAATTAACATGCTGATGTTTCAAATCCCCACTACCATAGAAAAAAAAAAGCAAAATTTGTTGTTGTTGTTGTTTATGAGCATTTTATATGATTGAAAAGTAAAGAAGAATCACTTGATCTTGGAAAAATCATGTGTTTCTATTCTTCCTTTGTGTCTCCAAAGGCAGACAACCTGTCAGAGTGTCTTTATGCTCAGATTTCCTTTTGTGGAATGTATATGAGAGCATTCTCATTCCCTACTCTGGTATTTTCCTGGAACTGTGTTTCAGAACTATGTAATATGAGGATTCAACAGCTGGCACATCTAATGCCTCTCATAAGTCCAGATCAGTACTTGGGGCTTTTCTTGTTCAAGAGCAGTATAAATGTAGAGAGCTTAGTTTCTCAAAGAAATAACTAAGAGAACTCTCAACTTCCATTTTTTTAAATGTCTTCACTAATTTTATAGTCTAGCACAGTGTTTCTTTCTTCCATATTCATATAATTGGAGTACTACTTACCATTCCACTTTTTGAGAGTAGCCATTCTAACAGCTGTGTTCATGCAGAAAATCTTATAGTTGGATGGTCCACTAAAATTCTGATGCAAGCTTTTTAGATTCCAGTGTGCCTTATGCTCACTGGAAAAATATTGATGTGCATCTATTTTAGAAATAAAGAGGGATCTGTGATTGTAACAATTTTTCTTCACTAATATTCGAGATTTTAGCCCATTATAGTGTTTGCACACCAATGTGAAAACACTCCTTTTTGTTCTAGGGAGATTTGCACCTGCACAGTTACCAGTGCTTTCAATGCTTTGAGGTTTCAGATGTAGTCCATTGAATGGAAAAATTAATATCGGGACAAATTACTTACAGAAAGAATTGGTTAGGTCTGGTGTTATTAGTAAAGTGAGCTGGGTGAGAGAGCTCAGGAAGTGCTAAACTGCCACTTTGGCTTTCAGTGGTGGCCTATATTTCCCTGTTAATTTTTTGGTACTGTCTAGATAAAAGTTCGACTGTCAGCAACAGCTATTTGCATTTTTAGAGAATGTTGGCAAATCCCTCTAAGGGATTAAGGGGTTACCTTAAGATTTAACACCTCTTTCACTCTGGTCTAATGGGATAAAGCCCATGGATCTTGCATGGCCATAGAAAACCACTTATTTTTCCCCCCTGGAGTAAATACTGATTTATATCTTATTCCTTCCTCTGTGTGTACTTCCTCTGTAGCATTTAAACTACAGGCAATTTAGAGTTAAATAATATATTTCAAACCCAAATCAATCTTCCTTTATTTATATTAACACTGGATTTGGACATTTTGTTCCAGTAATTTTGCATATTGCTCAAATCAGCAAAATCTTCAAGTGCATTCTACTTATCTCTTGGTCGATATTTTTTTTTTCAGTTTTCCAATTTGTGTGCCTCTATTTCCTTTACAGTTTTTAGAAGGACTCAAAACAGGAGTATATATTTATTTGGTGTATCCATAAATGGAGGGAGGCTTATATTCTGCTTTTATTTATTTTTATTTTATTTTTTAAAATTATCTTTCTTTATATCTGCTCTTTGGTTGATGCTTGTGTATAATTCCAGTGTCACACACATTCTGCACACAAGTCGCTTTTGTAATCTATGCCTTTTATTCTAACATCTACCTTGAGGTTGGATTGTAGCATTCATTCACATTAAATATTTTATTGATATGTTTTGATTTATATACTTATAATTGTTAACAATAAAAAGATATTTGCATACATATGAACTGTCCTATGTAGTTTTCTCTATTGTGATTTCTTTATCTTAAAATTACTACATTGTTGTAGTATTATAACATGCATTAGTGTCAGGTAATGATCACTAGTACATTTGCTCTTATGTATGAGAGAGTACTTGTCTAATTTTATATACATTCATCTTTCCAGGAAAATTTTAGAAGTTTTTGCTTTGATTTCTTCTTTAACAAAAAGTAAAGAATGGTAAAATTATGACCAGTTATTATTAAAGGGTACCTTGGGAAAAATGATCATTTTTATAATAGTTTTATCCTTTTAAATATGTTGAATATTTGAGTCTTTTATGTTCTTTTCTGTATTTTTATTTTCTCAAATACTGCATATTCCTTTTGTAAACATACTTGCATATGAAATGCAACATTCATGTGACATCAGCATAAAACATACATGGTATTTTATAGTATTTGTCAAACTGGATATAATACATCAACAAAAATTCTAGCTCCTAGAATTTACATTTTACAAAATTTAATAATTACTTCTTCCTCTTTAGCCATGCCCCTTGGTTTCAACTCTGGAAGAATGTGGCTGTATTCTCATGTACATTTGCTGTAATTTTACTCTCTGTTTCCTGTATGGGTGTATCATATACATATGATTACAAAACAGTTTCTACAAATGGATAATAAAAGCTTAAATTATTATTTTCCTTTTTTGTGAATGCATTTATTCCACATATTCATCAGTACTATTTAATTCATCTATATGATGTGATTTTATTCAATGTTACTTAACTTCTAAAGATTTTGAGTTTTTGTGATTATTGAACACTTAGATATATCCTTTTTAAAGTGACTCTTCAAGAATTTTCTGGTTTTCTTTTGCATTCTGTTGTATTTTTTCTTCTTATATGTCTTTGATTATATGTGAGGAAATTAGGGTTTTTTAACTTGTCAGTTTTGCAGCTTTTAATGTAATCATTTGATGAATAGATTTTTTGTATTAATATTTTGTAATTCATAAGTTTAAGTCTATTATATTGTGTAATTTTGAAAACAAAAAAAATATATATATTTTTCTATTGTGATATTAGGGATTCAACCAAAGTGTCTTAATGCTGAGCATATTCTCAGCTGTGTTTTAAACTTTATTTCCAGATGGGGTTGGCTCAATTTCTTCAGTTGGCCTTAAATTTTGAACTTCATGCCTTAGACTCCAGAATAGTAGATATTTCAGGTGTGCACCACCATATGAACCCTATCTTTTGTATGTAAACTTTTGAGCTTTCTACTTTCTTATATATTTAAGTATTATTTATTAATAACTTATATTCAGCATTTAATGTGTCAAAATATGTTGTTATGTGTTATGAGTGAAGGGATAAAATAGCATTTTATTATCACACTCTTTTCCGAATATCCTAGCATGTTTTAAGAATTTTGTTGTTGGTGTTTTCTGTAGTTCCACCATTTATTTTATTATGAGGTTTACTCTGATTGATTTTACTTCATAACATCAATCATTTGGCATCATGGTATTTTGGTCAGCAGTAGACTTTATGTACAACCATGTATCTAGCAAATATCTTATCCATGTATGAGTTTATACCATCTAGATTCTGTCATTGCACTCAGAGAATTGGAAAATTGCACAAGATTCTGAGGATAAATTCTCCAGAGTGTATTTCCATCAAGTGAGAAATCATTATATATGCCTATATTTGTAATTATATACTGTATAATTGATATAATTTTTATTTGTTGAATTTTCAATTTTGCTAGTGCTTTTTAAGTTGTATCTGCTTTTAAAAAATTTGTACTGAAGATTAAACCCAGGGGTGCTTAACAATAAAGCCACATCCTCAGTCCTTTTTTAATATTTTATTTAGAGACAGAGTATTGCTGAGTTGCTAAGTGCCTCACTAAGTTGCTCAATAATATATATATATATATATATATATATATATATATATATAATATTGTATTAGAATTTATGATCCTTTTTTCTTATCCTCCTCAGTCACTGGAACTACAGTTGTCCATTACTAGACTGGGCTCATTTGCTTTTTAAAAGCACCAACATTGATACTGGTAACTCTTTGTTATGTTTATCTTTAATAGCTTCTAATTTTGCTCTTTTGCTTAAGACTTTCTTTACTTTTAGTTTTTAAATTATACTTTTTATTGGGATGGATAATTTGATAATAAATTCTAGTCATTTTTTGGCTTACTAATTTTTTGTATGTTTTATTTTCACCTCAGGTATAGATGAATTCCAATTTTTCCAGCTGTATGGAGGTCTAAGTGAAACATAATAACCTCTATGGATATTGTTAAAGAAATGGAACCACAATTTTACCCAGTTTTTTGACTGTACTGTATATGCCCAAAGGACATAAAATCAGCATACTACATTGACACAGCCACATTAATGTTTACAGCAGCACAATTCACAATAGCTAAGCTATAAAACCAACCATTCAATGATGAATGGGTCCATTCAATGATGACAGGATAAAAAACTGTTGCTTATATACACAATAAAGTATGAATCGGCCATAAAGAAGAATGACTTTAGGACATTTGCCAGGAAATGGATAAATCTGGAGATTTTATGCTAAGTAAAACAAACAATTTCTATAAAACCAAAAGTTGAAAGTTATTGCTGATATGTGAAATCTAAAGCTCATAAAGTGGGGAAGGGTAAGAAAAGAAGATCAGTAGATTGCACAATGGTAAACAAAAATAAGTAAATAAATAAATAAATAAAAAAGACAAGGATAGAAATATAAAAGATATATATCTGTGAGTGAATCCTACCATCGTAGCCACCAACAAGAACAGGATTTTAATTAGGATAAGATATATCCCATGCTTGCATAATACCATAAAATCGATTTTACTGTCAGGTAGAATTAGAAAGAACCAATAAAATAATAAAAAAAATTATATTTGTTTGAAGAGCTATATGTATATTCCATTATAAATATCATACAATATAAACATTGATCAAAGTTTGTATATATATATATATATATATATATATATATATATATATATATATACACACAATTTTGTATGTTGAAAAATGTTAAAATTATAAAAAGGAAAATTTAAACAGGATTGTTGCTTTTTTATATTAATAACATACATAAAAACCATAAAATGTTTGAATTATATAAACTATTAAATATTTCCATTTAGTGGTCTGTCTACCTTGTTACATTTCAAAATTTCTCTTATACCATTGATATTGGAATTACTAGAGATCTCACTACACATTCAGAATAGCCAGTTCTATCAGAGAAATAACAAATAAGATTCTACACATTAGTAAATCTCTGATTAGTGGTTGTACAATTAAAATTTGAGGATTCCCTTTCTTAATTACCATGATTTTCTCATCTGAAAAATATGTATAATTTAGATCAAGATATAAAAAATTACAAAATATACATTTTTGTGATAATGCGTGAGTTTTATATTGTGTTTCATAAATGTGGAGTATGTATACTTTTTTGAAATTAAATCACTTTTTCTGCAGAAGTAGATAATAGTATCATTGTGTTACAAAACACTACGTACATGATAGTCTACTAACTCTAATTTCAACTGTAATTACATTACAGACTGTGCAAATATTCCTGTAGTCAATGTGTTATTTATTTACCTATTCTTATTTTAGGAACTGTTAACATTTATGGATATATCCATTGATTTTACTGAAGAGGAGTGGGAATGCCTTCAGCCTGCTCAGAAAAATTTATATAGAGATGTGATGCTAGAGAACTATAGAAACTTGGCCTTCCTGGGTAAGTTTAATTTCCCTTTAAAATTATTAATTACTAATTATTATTTAATTTACTTCTGTTGCAGAGTATCTTCTGGGAACTTCTCTATAAAAATGAGTTTCAGATTTATGTTTCAAAGAAAAAGGGCATTTTTAGTACAGATATTTCTCTCTCTCTCTCTCTCTCTCTCTCTCTCTATATATATATATATATATATATATATATATATATATATATATAAAGATAGATTTATAGATATATAATTTTACTCCTTAATCTGTCTCTTTCTTTGTGTGTTACACATCCTTAACTTTAGATAAGTAGTACCTAGTATAATTTAGTGATGTAAACTATTGTAGACTACACATAGCAGGGGACACAGTTGAGTCATTCAAATGTCAAGGAGAAAACCAAACTAAAAAATTTTGAAAGAGTAGTTATCCTTCAGAAGAAATTTTTAGAAGCTTAGGTTTATTCATTTTGATTGTAATCATTTAACACATACTGCCCTATATTTATCACTTTTTCAAATTCCTTGTTGTTCTCTGTTTTCTTCTTTAGTGATGTCCCAGTTTATTCAGATTAACCATCAAAACCTACCTTTTGTTGTGAGGACCAGCATGATGTGTTTCAAATCTTCTTGTGAGGAAACCTTTAAAGGGGCAAACAGAAGAGAGAGACACACACATACAGTGAAAAGGAAAAAAAAAGAAAAAAACTGGCCACCCCTCTTAACAGCTGCTCATATATTACCCCAAAATTACATAGCTTCTGATACCATGACTACATTCTAACCCAGTGTTTCTTTAACCCCAAGTGCTAGCTAACCAAGATTAGGTACAGTTAATACAAATATAGAGCCCCTTCTCCCTAAGGGCATTACCACAGAAACTAGATAGTGCACCTGTAGAGTTGTCTTAATAGCTTCAGGGAGAAACTTCTGGGCATTACAATTGTGGGACTCAGGGTGCCAGTTACAATTACCCCCACACTTTCCTGTCTATTCGAAGGTCAGAATACCTAATACCTCCTCTCTTTTTAAAGGCCTTTTGAATAAATAATATTACTTATCTCCTTAATGCTGGTGGGGGCAAAAAATAGGGCAGGCATAGACAACAGCAAGTGCCAACATCAGTAAACATCCACCTATGAATATTTTTGGCCCAGATGAAATTGAGTATACATGAAGCTAACCAATCCAACAAGTCCAAAATCCATCATCTTGTTGAACCTTATTAATTATATCTTTAAGGTAATATAAGTCTTTTGAAATAAAATCACTATTATAACTTAAATTGAAGGAACACATGGTACTAAACTTCTGATATCCTTTATGATGTAACAATAACAGACAATCAATTGCAGCATGATTGTCAAGTATGGCTTTACAATGTTGTTTTTGTTCTTCATTAAGCATATTTACATCCATTGAGGCATGAATAATACTGTTTATGATAGCATAGGCGAGTTTCATAGTAATTTCATAAGCTGGTAGAGCTAGTCCAGGTAAACCAACCAAGGAGAATGTCAAAGTGTTAAATTATGCCTTAGAGAGAAGCTTCACTGAATCATCACAGTTTTTATCAAGAGGAATAGATCTTTTATGAATAAATTGCACAGGATGGTGACCTATTAAATACTATGTGGATGGTAAGGACACATTATTCTGCTAAGACAACAATGAATACCATGAGACATTTTTGCAGGTATATAACAATTTTATGCAAGTGAGTCAAGATATTGTAATGGGTTCTAGAAGTCCAGGATCTGACAGGACTGAATTTCCCAGAGCTGGTGTACAAAAACAGAGCAAAATTGTTATTAAGACCAAAGCATTTACAGAGTTTTGTGTGAGTTTAGCAATCAAAGCAGTAACAAAGTTATCTAGAGTACATTCTAACCCCATTTTAGCCAACACCTCTTGAGCTGAGGCTGTTAATGGTTTTATATCTCCCCAAGTAACTAGAATTCAAGTATTTTGGGGTCCTCTTTTAATGTTTCTCCTCTTTTGACGAGAATGATTATTCTCTTGTTTGGATGACCTCTTATCTTCCAGGGTTAAAAGAAACTTAGAAATCAGCTTGTGAAGTCCCTGATGTACATTTATAATTGCTATTTTTCAAGCATGAAGCTAGAGTCCAAACAGGACATGTTGGCATAAGTGTAGCAGTCTATGCTTTTCCCCACGTGATCAAAGGCATAGGATCTTGTCATGCTGGTCAGGTGGAACCTCATATATTACATAATTTTATTGGTAATGGCTGTTTGAGAATAAAATGTCTATTCAATGCAGATGACCAATTTTGACTATTAACTTTATGTTGTATATTGAGCACATTAAGTGTAAATAAAACAATATTTAATGCATATTAATAAAAGAGAGGCTAGATCTTTGTTTGTTTCTGTTTTAAAAGGCAAGTATTAGGATACAATTTGCTCACTCAACAAAAGCTCGTCCAAAAGAATTATGAGAAATTTCATGATTTAAAACTATATCTCATTGATTAAAAATTGTGCAAAAGGATGAGATGTAAAGGCAGGAGCATTATCCATCTTTAAACAAATAGGGCCTCTAGGAGCAGATCATGCTTGGTTACTTTCCATGCTCTCTGCTGGAACTGACTTGATATTTTCTTTTTTAGATTCAATTCTGTTAGTAATTTTTTTCTTTTGTTTTGTGTTTTGCAATAATGCATTAGTAATCATAAATATTTTGAAGTGAATAAATCATTATACTTCTACTTTGTAATTTTTTAATATATATTTTTTTATTTTTTAAATTTTGATTAGTGATTTAATTTCTGGATCATTGTTTTTTTAATGTGGCATGCTTGGATTCTTTTCACACTTCATATATATATATATATATATATATATATATATATATAGAGAGAGAGAGAGAGAGAGAGAGAGTCTTTGACTATAATATCAACCCTACACAAAACACAGTATATATATATATATAACACTTCTCTTTATATATCCTATAGATTTTTATTTTTTACAGTATTTTACAAGTTGCTTAGACTTGTCTTACACTTGGTACTGCTTGATAAGCCTCTCCCATATTTGTAGAATTTCAGATTTGCACACTAGGAATGGCCCTCTCATTTTTTCATAAAGAATTATTCACATAAACATTGTGCTCATTGATGTTAATATTTTTCAATTTCAGTCTCTAAACTTTTTAAAAATAGTTATTTAGTGTTCTTTGAGTAATTCATAACTGTCATTATCCTAATGTTAAATTATTAATGTTTTATTTTTCTTTTTTTGTAACTTGTATTTAGCCATGCTTCTCTTTGTTTATATTTGCTGTACTATTTTTTATTTGTTCATTAAAAGAGCCAGCAGTAGATTATATAGTCCATTTTCGGGAAAAATAATATAGACTTAAATAAATAAAAATAGGCAAGAACAGTGCTGCATCCTTGTAATATTTGCTAATTGGGAGGCCATGCAAAAGTACTTCATATTTGAGAGAAGTCACAGAAATTTAGAAACAGCATGGCTCAAACAATTTTAAGAAGACTTGTGTTGTAGTTCATGATATAGAATTTTTGGGGTAATCTCAAGCATTACATATGAAACATTAAAAGTTGGATGACCTAAAGATCCAGAATTGCCAGTACTAAATATGTATCCATGAACAATTAAATCAGAAAATTGAAGAGATACCTCTGCTTTTGTGTTTAGTGCCAAAATTTTTCTCAGTATTAAAGCTAGGGACTCAATGTGTGTGCCCATTAGTGTCAAATGTTTAAAAATATGTACTTATATACTATTATTACTTAGTTATAAAATATTTTGTCTCTTAAAGTGTTATAAGAAATATATGCAGTACTTTGAATTAAGTGAAAGGTGGCAGGCAGATATTAAGTTGTAGGAGCATTTGATTCACATGTGGAAGTCAGAAATTTAGTGAGCAAAATTTTGCTCACCAGGTACTGTGTTTTGTGTAGGGTTGATATTATAGTAAAAGTCTCCATATTTTTATTTTATTGAGCATAATAGGGTCAAGAGTTTTATTTTACCACATAGTGAGTGTATTATGTTCTTCATAAATACTAGTAGAAGGAATACAATACCTTGTAAGAACAAAATTGATAATTATATGAAATAATGATTTTGTTAATTCATTCTATTTAGTCATTTTACCTTGAATATATAGTATAAAATACCATGATATATTTATAAATAAACAAAGTTGTATTTGTCAATAAAGGAAATTCTCATCACATGAATGTAAAAATATAAAAATCAATTTATTATACTTGACTGTCATGTGTTGAATTCATCCAAATATTATGGCCATAGGGTATGCAAGGTTTTTATTGTCTTTTAAAATGTTTTTATGAAAAATTTTATAGACATATGTGTATATTTCTTAGTAAATTTTTTGTTCATATTTCTTTTTAAGAGTCCATTGCCTCTTTATCCTTGTTGAATATTTATGGTATTATCACTCAAAATCTACTAGCTATTTTCATGTCTCCATGTCATGGTAGACAAAAAGCATTTTTGGACACTCTTTGAAAAAACCATAAATGTTTATATATGTTTTACATTTCTCTTATTCTACTGACAGTGAAGGTAGCTGGTAGATATTTCCCAAATACACAATACTATCTTATGAAGGACAAAAGGCTGTTAATGATACTTTTCTACACTTTATTATATTACTTTTCTTAATGATGTAGTCCTCTTGGATAATGTGGTCTCTACAAGAATTTGGATAATATTCTCAAGGTAATTTTTTCTTTCCTTTTTTTTTTGAACTAATATAGTTTTTTTGGATTTATGGTGACTTTGGACTTACTAATCTGCTACACTCCTGATGTACTTATTTTTACTTAATTTCATGTTATGTATGCAAAATATATTTATCCCTGACTAATAGGTATTTTTTTTTATTTTTGTTTATTTCAGCCATGACTCCTAATCATATCCAAGAATATTCACCAGAAAAGGGCCTAAAACATATATTTCATGAAGTGATAAGTGCAAAATATAGAAGTTGTGATCTTGACTATTTCCCACAAAAGAAAATATGGAAAACTACAAGTGAGAGTGAAGACCAGAAATCATATAAAAACTCAGGCATTGTCCATCACCAGATAATTTATACTGGAGAGAAGCCCTACAAATATAAAGAATGTTGCAAAGCTTTTAGTAAAAAAAAAAGTCTTATTTACCACAGAGGAACTCACAATGGAGAGAAGCCCTACAAATGTACAGAATGTGGCAAAGCTTTTGGTCAAAAATCAGACCTTATTTGCCACAGCAGAACTCACACTGGAGAGAAGCCCTACAAATGTACAGAATGTGGCAAAGCTTTTGGTCAAAAATCAGACCTTATTTGCCACAGCAGAACTCACACTGGAGAGAAGCCCTACAAATGTAAAGATTGTGGCAAAGCTTTTGGTCGAAAATCAGACCTTATTTACCACAGCAGAACTCACACTGGAGAGAAGCCCTACAAATGTAAAGAATGTGGCAAAGCTTTTGGTCAAAAATCAGACCTTATTTGCCACAGCAGAACTCACACTGGAGAGAAGCCCTACAAATGTAAAGATTGTGGCAAAGCTTTTGGTCAAAAATCACACCTTATTTGCCACAGCAGAACTCACACTGGAGAGAAGCCCTACAAATGTAAAGATTGTGGCAAAGCTTTTGGTCAAAAATCACACCTTATTTGCCACAGCAGAACTCACACTGGAGAGAAGCCCTACAAATGTAAAGAATGTGGCAAAGCTTTTGGTCAAAAATCACACCTTATTTGCCACAGCAGAACTCACACTGGAGAGAAGCCCTACAAATGTAAAGATTGTGGCAAAGCTTTTGGTCAAAAATCATACCTAATCGCCACATCAGAACTCACACTGGAGAGAAGCCCTACAAATGTAAAGATTGTGGCAAAGCTTTTGGTCAAAAATCAGACCTTATTTGCCACAGCAGAACTCACACTGGAGAGAAGCCCTACAAATGTAAAGAATGTGGCAAAGCTTTTGGTCAAAAATCACCCCTTATTTGCCACAGCAGAACTCACACTGGAGAGAAGCCTTACAAATGTAAAGAGTGTGGCAAAGCTTTTGGTCAAAAATCACACCTTATTTGCCACAGCAGAACTCACACTGGAGAGAAGCCCTACAAATGTAAAGAATGTGGCAAAGCTTTTGGTCAAAAATCACAGGCCTTATTCACCACAACAGAACTCATGCTGGAGAATAGCCCTACAAATGTGAATAATGTGGAAAAGCTTTTAATAAAAAATAAAACTTTAGTCACCACAGCAGAAGACATGCTGTTGAATGTGAAATGTGAATAAAGTGATAATACTTTTAAAGAAAGACTAAACCTTGGGGCTGGGGTTGTGGTTCAGTGGTAGAGTGCTAGCCTTGCATGTGTGAGATCCTGGGTTTTATCCTCAGCACCACATAAAAATAAATAAGTGAAATAAAGGTATTGTGTCCAACTACAACTAAAAAATAAACATTAAAAAAGAAAGACTAAACCTTATTAACAACAGAATTTATACAGAAAAGAACCCCTACAAATTGAAACAATGCAGCAAAGCTTTTAATAAGAAATCAATTCTTTTCACCACTAGGCTACTTATTCTGGAAAGAAGACATCTAAATGTAGAGAATGTAAAAAAATTTAAATTATATATCATACATTACTAGACATCAGAGAAAACACACTGGAGAAAAGCTCTACAAATGAGACCATTGTACCATTACTCTAAGAAAGGGACAACATTTAATCCTCACCACAATAACCATAGTGTAGAGAAAGTTTTGAAATGTGAAAATTGATAATGTGACAATGCCTCCAAAATTTATTCACCAATACTCAGCACTTGTGGATACATACTGGTTAGAGAAAATACAAATGGAAAAAAAATGTAGCTACATGTTCTTAAACACTGCTTATTTTTGGAGAATTCATTGTGCCCAGAAACTCTAAAAAGTTAAATAACATTTCCAAAATGTATTTAAATTTTAAATTCATTGAACATCTGAAAACTCATACTAGTAGTGAACATTGAACAGATTTTGTCCAAAATGTATGCCTTATATAACAATGAAACATTTATAATAAATGTGAGAGTATAGTAAAGTTATTATCTATATATTACACCTTGATGTATATGAGGATCAGTAAAATACAGAACTCATTTAAGTTTAGAAAACAAGTAGTTGTCTTTAACTTTTGCTTAAATTTATTAAGCATTATCAAGTTATTTTGTAGAAATATCAGTCATAAATATCAAATGCATAGTGAAGAAACCTCATCTTTGAAAGAATATAATTGTTTTTATAAATTAAAAATTACTATTTTCACTTTTGAATAGTGATAAAAGAATTATATGAAATCTATTTTTGATGTTTAACACTGAAGTGTAATATTTTAAACTATAATTTGTTTTGTATTTCAGTTTAAGTTTAGGTATTTTTATACACTGAGCCACATTCCTAAGCCCTCTCTCCACTTTTTCAAATTTTGAGACTGTATTGCTAAGTTGCTTGAAACCACACTAAGTTGCTGAGGCTGAATTTAAACTTATGAAATTACTCAGCTTCCCAGTTTGCTTGGATTACAAGCATAGACCATCATGTCAGGTTTACAGTGCATTTTTTAACCTATATTTACCTTATGTATGCAATATGTCTTTATAACTGAATATTTGTTTATATGTTAACACTCATGTATTGCATCCTGTTGTTAAATGACAGACATCATAGTGTTCCACTTGACTAAATGTTCTATGTCACTGTAAAACATACTGGTGAGTGAATAATACTCTAGCATCTGTTAATACTTTTACACATTTTAATCAAACTTAATGTGGAATACAATTTGCATAAGTCAGATCATTTTTTTTTCTGTTTGTATTTATGGTGAAATTAAGAGTTATAAGAAGGATATAGATATAGGAAAATAAGCCCCAGGTTTTCATATCTTGATTTATAAATTTTAAAATTTTAACTTTTTAACATTTTAACATTTCCTAGTGATTTTAATAGACTGAATTTCCACAAACTTAAGGGTAGCTCTTACAGGAGAGAAGAGCTTTATCTTTCTTGTGTGCATAATGGCCTTCTAGACTTCATCCTCATTGGAGACATTTCATTTTTCTGTGAATGAGGTCAATGATCAGTGTTTTCATGTACATTAGTAAATTCTGATATCTTTGTTATTCTATAGGTAGTGTTATTTCAGGGCAGGAATTGGAGAAATGGATGTGGAGTCAAAGTTGAGTGAGGCCTTATACTTATGACAAAATAATCAATGAGCTATGTTTTATAGTCTCATTTTCTGAGGACCAAGTAGTAAGAGGTAAACTGAGAAGGTTGTATGTAAAGATTAAGTTTCTTATCATAAAATGTTGGCTTTTCAGGTACAATAGGGTAAAAGCTTATTATACACAGAATCCATACAAAAATCATATTGAACATCATTCACAATTTTATTAACCATGATTACATATAATTCATGAAGACCTGAGTTTACAGCAACATATGCCTAAGAACAAGGTCTAGGGACATTTTACACTCTCCAATATAGACATATTTATACAAATTTAATTATACATGAAACTACACTAAATGAGAAGAAAAATCAATTGGATCAACACACAACAATATATAAATAAAAACTTGTAAAGACTTAAGCAACTGACCAATAGTGGATGAAGTGTGGTTTCCAAATGCTAGGGGAAAAATGGACATATAATCAGTTAAAGGTAATTGAAGAAAGATAAGTTACCCACTTTGAACTACAACAGCATTTGAAAGAAGAAGAGTCACAAAGTAAGCAAAGATTATTCACCTCCATTTGTATGCTTTGTAATATTTTCCAAAAATTTTCTGCATATTTTATTGCAGTCAAATTGAGAAACAATCCAGAAAGTTAAAAAAGACAAGTATTGCCCCTCTGGTTTTAAAAGCAAGAAAAGGAATAGAGAGAGATTTATTGAGCTAGAAAAATTTACTAGTTAGAGTGAAAAAATAAAGAACTGAGATTACCAGAATCTAAGTATAATGTATTTCAGCCATCCCTGGCTGCACAGGGCATTTTTGCTTAGCAAAGAATTTGTTCATGTATGTACGCTTAAACAACATTGCTGTTTTTAGTCAGTCTTTTTCATTAATAACAATGATGTACCTTTCAACAGTTTCCAGCCACAAAAATACACAATTTCAGAAATCTTCTGTTTCATCATCCATATATTCTGCCACAATATTCAACAGGGCAAGATAATATAAACCTTTTGGCAGTCCCATCAAGGCATTCACTTCTATTAATAGAAAAGTATGATACATGGAACAACGTAATTTTACTTAGTAAAAATATTTTTTTTCATGAAAAATAGATTCTAACTCCTTTGTCTTGGGATTCCATTAGAAAAATATGAGGTAATTATACTGTATATTATGACCTTAGGCTATGAGCCTTAAAATTACCTTAAAATACAAAAGAATATTAATGTTTATTTTTAAATATAGTTTTTATATTTCAAATATTCAAATTCCACAGCAATCAATGATACAAAAACATGAAGAAAAAAACTGCAGTTTGATGTCTCATCATGACATTTCAATACCTGCTGTAGATTGCCTGTGGCTTCCACTTTTAATTTAAACAAATAATAATTTTTCCATACAATTTGGGTGAAGTGGAGGACAAAATCTCCTGCATTGCTTTCCTGGGCAAGCCATCATACTTAAAACAACTGAAACCCAAATCAAAATACGTTTACTCTACATTCTAATTATATCAGTTCTTAACTCATCTAGCATAAAACAAATCCACTTTCTTCTGGTTGAATATCTTGAGCTCAAATAGATGGAACCTGGGAGCTAAAAGAAGTATGACATAAATAATGAGGTCTCTTTTTTGCATAAGGCAAATTGCACTTTTTGTATTTGATTTTTCTGCCTGTGAAGATCTACATTTATCTTCCTACAATGGTATTATGATTGATGGTGACTTGTGTGATTACAGGAGGCTTTAAATGCAGCTACATGTGTTTGAGTCCTTTCACTGGTAAAATACTATAATTTGTACTCTAATAGGAGACTCAGAATGGTGCTAGACAAACCTATTTTTTTAAGAGAGAGTGAGAGACAGAGAGAGTGAGAGAGAATTATTTGATATTTTATTTTTTAGTTTTCAGTGGGCACAACATCCTCATTTGTGTGTGGTGCTGAGGATTGAACCCGGCTGCACGCATGCCAGGTGAGCGCGCTACTGCTTGAGCCACATCCCCAGCCCCAAACCTATTTTTTTAATCTGCCTCTTTATTCATGGTTTTCTAGTGGTTTTGATCTAGTCAGTTCAGACCATTTCTGATTAATGGGTGTCATCAAAATATAAATTCCCTTTCCAATCATTAGCAATGAGACAATTCTTCCCATTAAAAATAAAAAAACATTCTCATATAGTCTTTGCTATATTCTAAGGAACCACTCTTGCTTTTGCTTTACTAAACAAAATCAATTCCACATATTTGAGTCCCAAAGTAAATGGCAATACATTAAACTAAGCACCATGAGGAATATAAGAAATACAAGATATCACCTTTGAAATATAAAAATAAGAATCAGAAATGCTAAGCCATTACCATCTAAGCTATACCAGAGCTTTTAAAATGTAATCTTAGATGTTCTAACCCACTATTGATACCAAAATTAATGAGCAAACTCTTCTCATGCTGATTGTGCATGATGCTATTATATAAAATGAAAACAAGCAAATGTGTCAGAGATGCATTTTACAACATTAGTTGAAAATACAATTGCTTGTTCAGTATCTCATTGACCCCAGCAAATACCTTCTCAGTGTGCAAGATAAATGGGTAAAAATTTTAAAAAATCAAGTAAAAT